CAAAAGAACTGCAATTGGCATATTTATATATGACTTACGAAGAAACATATGCCTTAAAGTGCTTACTTTTTCAGTTATTGGCGAAAAACTGATTTTCGGTTCCAGAAATCATGCAAAAATATGGGTATGTGGTACATTGGGCTATGAAGGCCTTAGAGATTTTTGAATGAGTGCAAATTGTGCAGAATGGCCATGTTTATATACAACTTATGAAGCAACATGCACCCTAAAATGCTTACTTTTCGAGTTATTTGGGGGAAAAACAGAGAAAATTTGCACAAAATAGAGCAAAATTGGTTATATCAGGTATATCAGCCATTTTTGCCTCCCGTTCTATGTTAATAACTCGAAAAGTAAGCATTTTAGGGTGCATGTTGCTTCATAAGTTGTATATAAACATGGCCATTCTGCACAATGTGCACTTATTCAAAAATCTCTAGGGCCTTCATAGCCCAATTTACCACATACCCATATTTTTGCATGATTTCTGGAACCGAAAATCAGTTTTTCGCCAATAACTGAAAAAGTAAGCACTTTAAGGCATATGTTTCTTCGTAAGTCATATATAAATATGCCAATTGCAGTTCTTTTGCACTCTATCCAAAGACTCTATCACAATCCTATCAAAAGTTAGTAAAATCGGCTCAGCGCCACGCCCAAAATGGTTTTTGGCGAATTTCTCGAAAAGTAAGGATTTTAGGCAATGTGTTGATCAATAACTTTTATATAAACATGCATATGCGGCTTCGTTTAAGCCTCTTTAGAAGTCTCTACGACCTTCAGAAGCAAGGGGTCAGTTACGTTATTGGGTCAATATGGGCGTGGCCCTCCTGGGTTTTGCCCAAAGTAAAAAAAATGTCTCCAACCGAAAATCGTTTATTCATACCTTTGGGAAGGTCTGTGCAAAGTTTCGTGGGTATCTGAAAATTTGCAGGCACATGTCCATAAATGACTGGACTAGATAGTTATCTTGATCTAGTATCTTTGTTTCACACAATAGAGCATAAGTTTTGTGGTTTATCCACTGGGCTTAGAGTTTGTGTTTAAGCTACCAAATTTTATTATTATTATTTATTATAATTATACAGTTTATTGACGACACATTGACTGAATGTTATTTTATATTCTAATTTATATTCTAGATATTTTATTTATTTTTCAACAGACGACAACTTCCTGTTTTTTCGTCTATATTAGTCACTCATATCTCTTGTACAGACTGTTTTACAAGGACATTGACAGATGATACTCACATTAGGCATTCATTATTGCATCTAAATTATTTCACTTGCATTAGGTTTAGAAATTTATTCTCTGGTTAACAGATTTAATTAATTTGTAGTATGACAGTAAGGTATATAAGAAGTTATTTAATTTTGCTTGGGCTATTATATTGACTATTGAGGTTTAATGATGATATGGAATTTGAATTTTATATAAATTTACACTATGTGGTTGGGGCATTTTGCATAGTAAATATGGTTACTACTCCTATATATCATATTATTTGATTGGTATTCGATTTCTGATTATTTCCCTAGGAATATGATTATTATATCTCAATTTGGCTTTAGGTAGGGTGCCCCGCTAAAAGAACTGGATTCTTCCAGGAAACATCCCGTGCACAGAGCTTGGTCTACATATATATATTGAATTATTAACCATTCATTCTGTATGTTCACGAAAATTTATTTCAATAACAATCAATAATATGCCTCCTTACTAATTTTTCATATAATTTACATAAAATGCATGTAAGTGACACTGGCCTGTAATTTAGGGAATCTTTCCGACTACCCTTTTTATAAAGAGATGTAACATTTGCTGTCTTCCACTGTTCTGGAATTTTTCCACTTGAAGCACATGTTTGAAATAATTTAGTCACAGCAGAAACAAAACTTGAATTATGTTCAAGTTCTTTTAATAATTTAGGATGAATGCCATCTGGCCCTTTACTTTTACTAATATTAATTCTTTTAGTTCTCTGCCAACATCATCCATTGTTATCTCAATATTTTCAATGTGTAACTCATCCGCAATAAAATAACATTCTCTGTTCAAAGGTCCATCTGGTTCTTAGACAAAAACTGAAGCAAAAGCATCAGCCAATACTTCGGCAGTTTCAAAATTACTTTTGGTCAAAGATCCGTCCGGTTTTTCCAGGGATGATACACAACTTTTTAACACTCTTTTCCCTCTTAAATATGCATAAAATGGCTTCGTATTATATTTCATACACTGTGTAACTTTTCTTTCATAATTAACTTTACACTTAAATGACTTACTATCAAACTGTCCTTGTTGGTTCAGTGCAACATTAAGATTTCAGAAGAAGGATTATTATCAAGTTTATTTTTCTTTTCTAGTTAGTTGTCATCCGGCCACACAACAAGCAACTTATCTTGCAGCACCATTTTTCAATTAGTATATCAAAATATGTCATTGTTATTTTGCATGGCTGAAATGTAACGCTTGATTTATATATATAATAATTAATTGAACTTTCAAATAAAAACGACCCCTTAGTTATCATCCGGCCACGCATTATGCAACTTATATTGCAATACCATTTCTTCCATTAGTTGAAACATCAAAATAATATTAATTGTTTGTGTAATTTTGCATGACTGAAATGTAATGCTTGATTCTCATATTATATAATACTAGAAAGCGCGTGGTCACAGGGAGTAGTAAAACACAATATTTAGTAAAACAAAATTTTTATTTACCACAAAACAATCAATACATATTTAATATTATTATACATTTATAAATAAATTTAAATTTAAATTCAGCTATATACACAATACACAATACACAGCCCGCCGCGCAGACAGCCACACATTGCTGAGAGATTCTCAGGTTCAGATGTAAGCGCTGCGCGCGCGAGGTTTGTTATCTTACAATTACATGTCACGATATATTATTAATTATCAGAGAATTTTAGAAGCAAAATAATTATTGCATATTGGGAAAATTTCGGTCGTTAACGCAGTACAGGGCGTGGATACTGCAATGCTAATAACGAAAAATTCTGTGGCACTAGTTTCATTCAGCTACCCAATTTATATGTGACATGTACAATGTAATTGTATTAAATTCAGATAAATGTTAGTAATAATCGACGTTAACATTTTGCAATTAACAATTGCACTTAAATCACATCTAGAAAGTTACTAATTCTTTGCATTATATTATGTTACGTCACTATAGCATATGTCATTCATATTGTACGTTATATAAGATAAAAATAAACATTTTATAATTGTTTCAATGTTCAACACTGCTAAAAAACAAATACCTACTTGCCCACCGATTAAGCAGTTGCCAAAACAAGGCTCAAAGTTAATTTACCTTCATACCTTGTTTTGGAGACTGAAGGATGTCAATAAATAAATAATGGATAATATAAATACTGAATATGATGGATAATCAGTAATATCAATAAAATCCACAATCACGAATCATGTTTTCGATGGGCAAGCACTCGCAACTGGATATTCTTTGGTAGTCAGTTGTTATTCCATCAAAAAACGTCCATCCCAACCGAGGCCGATATTGCTGATTATAATGTAAAACAGATTAAATACAACATAATCACCAGAAAGGCAGCGTTTGATTCCATCAGAAGAGAGTTTATTTGGTCAAGCATGAGACACTATGGACTTCCTGAGAAATATCTTAGAATCTTTCAGGCATTCTTCAACGGAACCATGAGTGCTGTCAGGGTTAATGGTGAAATGTCTGATTGGTTCTCTGTTAATTCGGGCACTAAGGAGGGTGATATCCAGGGCCCTCCCCTATTTAATTTTTGTCTGAACTTTGGAATCTTTTTGGCAGAGGTTCACAAGGCAATCAGTCATGGTGCTGTACTGCAAAAGAAACTAAAGGGTGCAGATGAAAAAGTTATCATGGATAGTGACTACGCTGATGATCTGGCAGTGATGGACAATACTGAAGAAGGGCTGCAAGAGTCCACTGATCTTATAACTTGTTACACCTCTTATGCTGGGTTAAAGATCAACGCTAAAAAGATTCAATGCATGGCGATCAGCAAGTGTGTGTCCCAGCGACCTTACACCGAAAGAGACAGTATAAAGCTAACTGTGGAGGGAGAACCTGTTGAACAGGTCAGCAACTTTGTTTATCTTGGTGCCAACATCAGTGGCGATGGTACTATTGACCGAGATCTTGACATCAGGATCCAGCGTGCTAATGGTGCGTTCCAACAGTCGAACTATAAGAACGCCTACCAAGATCCGTATCTACAAGGCTGCTGTTATTACCATTCTGTTATATTTAAAGTCACTATTGTGACGGTACATTAGAACTAGACAGAAACAAAGTGTGAAGGGCCTGAACGGAACCCCTCGGTTTCAGTTCCTTGTTTAACACTGCCGTACAGCAAGGACATTCGCCGGGTTCTCCAAGGATGGGCACATAGCTCACTCCACACAATGCTCTGTCAAATGTTGCTTATATACCAAAGATCTACAGGAAATATTTTCTTGTAAGTTTTTAGAGGGCGATCTGTGAACAGACAACTACCTCATTCCCAACTATAGGAACTAGAATTCCTATACTATCCTAACAAGCTACACCAAGCATAGTTTCAGATGAGAACAGCCGTGATAAATCAGCAGGCTAGTACTCTTGATTATATATTTAAAGTCACTATTGTCTGAAGTCTGGAACACAACAAAGAAGCAGATGAAACGGTTTGAGGTCTTCCATCTGACCTCCCTGAGAGGAATCTTGAAGATAAAGTGGTTCTTCCATGTCTCCAATGAAGAAGTTCTCAGGCGTGCTGGAATTAAGTCTATCGAAACTTTCATCGGTGCGGCTAGACTAAGGTGGTACGGACATGTTGTCAGAATGCCAGAGACGTGGTTTCCCAATTTCTTACTGGATTGGAAACCAAACTATGGAAAGAGACTGAGATGACGACCCTGCAAAGGCTGGATGGCCTGTGTACTCGAGGATGCGGCTGTATTTACAGGTGTCGATAACATCAGCAGAGATGCAGTAAAACAGTTGGCTCTAAAGCGAGTGGAATGGAGGAACATGTTACGCCGTAGAAGAGATGTGTGTGATGCAGGGCGCAGGCCACTCCAACGACTAGGAGGAGACCTCTTCATGTAGCATGTAGCATGTATGTAATCACCAGAAAATGACAAAAATCACATTCTAACAATCATTGCACGTGTGTGTTTTCATTCCTATTTCTCATCCTATTTGCATATCCAGGCGGTCGTACATACAGACATACAGACATACAGAAATAATCTTTCGTAGTATGGATAATATTTAATTGAATTTTCAAATTAAAAAAATGAAATTACTTAATCGATTTACCATACAGCTCACTATGTATTCAGGACGATGTCGACAAGCTTAAATCTAGCTGGAGGGGATTCGTAGTCCCCCAGCATAGCAAACCTGTATTTCATTTGTCATGGTCCTAAGAAATCCTATATAAAAATAGGTCCACAGAAAGATTTCAATTCCTTAACCTTTTTCTTTTTCATTAGGGATTCATGTCAGAAGAGAAGGAGAGCTTGCTACGTGCGTCGATACAGAACCTATCTAAATCAGTTCAACGCTATGGAGTTGAATCTGGACTTGGTATGTTTCTCTATTAGTTATATAAAAATGAAAAATATTAATATGAAATATATTGATACCTTAAATCCCAAATTTAAAAATTATACTTCTTTATAGATTTGCGTGGGATTTGCAAGACAAATCTTGGATATGAGATAGATTGATAGACGTGGTATCAATTTGCTGGAATTTGATATATATTATATAATATATCAAATTATATAAAAGTATATCAACTTAATAACACCAGAATGTGTGTGTGTCTGTGTGTCTGTGTGTCTGTGTGTCTGTGTGTAATTTCCGAACAGTTATACAAAAAAAACGGTAATAGTTACGGGACTTGTTTTTTCGGTATAGTGCCGACAAAACTCTGATGAAGCCCATAAGAAAATTTTATAAAAATCGGCCGGTGGTAAGTGGTTTAATTGATGATTTTGTTCCAGAAATGTGACATAAATGGATGGGAGAGAGAACGAGGAGGATAACATGTACCGTAATTAGTTTAGCCCCACGTAATATCAGAGCTCACTCTTGCGGCCGCTTTGTTTTAACTGTAGGGAGATTTCATACTTTCATAAGACAGCATTATGCGTGATATCAAATATATAATGCGGTTGTATACTTTTACATTGCAACTGTGACAGTAAATTCCCGGCCGAAGGCACGGGTTACACTAGTATATATATACTTTTATGTGCAATGTGCATATTTCTAAAAATTCGTATGTACTGAAACTATGTTGAAACTTTTACCACGTCTGAAAAATTGAAATCATTTCATTACTATCAAAAGAAGCATAAGGCTTATGTAGGCGATGTTTAACAGCGGTCACGTGTTTTTGTGACTGTGAACCCGCTTATATCTGAAATGTATTCGTTTTCAGATACTGACATTATAATACAATAATACCTTCGCTTCTTCGGGCTAATTCCCGACAGCTTGCTGGAGGGAATTTGCGGCCCGAAGAATCGAAGGTGTTATTTGTTATAACTATTGACGGTGGCTCCTGTAAGATGTGTAATGTGATACGTGCGCATGATACAATATAGTGTGTAATATATAGTGCACCACTGTTATTTGTTATGAAACTTCCCGCCAGCCAGTCTGAGGTGACTCGCAGAATGTGCTCATAATACCTTCGGTTCCTTGCGGGAACAAGAATTTTTCGTTGCATGGTAACGAACGGAAGGAAGGACACACGACATATTTAAACCCCGGCCCACCTATCTCGTTCTCCAAAATCCACGTTTTTCTGCAAAAACCTCCATTCGTAACCTTTCACTATTGCCTTTTTTCAAAAGGGTGAAAAGGAAAAAATCTGCAAATTATCAGCTCTCAGTGCAGAATGTCTTCATTTTTGTGCTACGCAACGACGCAGTAAATGGTTAAACTTACCTGGGAACTTAAGATTTAGTAGAAAGAGGCTGGTGAAAACAATACTAGGTGAAACTCTCTTAAACGTTATAATTTAAAGTTAATTTGTTCTCCCTCACAACGTTAAGGTTTAATTGTTTAAAACATACAAATTTAGAATAATAGAAGATGCGATGGAGAAAGACAGGCTGGCACCGTCCATTAAGAAAAAAACCACTTACCCCAGGTCACATGACAATAGAACAAGAGTAATTTCCATTGTTATATCCAGATAACAATATGGGTGAAGCTAAGGGTGAAGTTGTTGTTTAAAAGTTAACAGGATAGACTGAGTTTCAAGTGTTTCAATTGTCAAAGATAAGCTATAAATGGGTAAAGTTGTCCGTCAGCCGTTAGTTGTCTTAACTGTCCTCGTTTCTAAGATGGCATTTCTCTTGTTTCATAAAATATTGATATTTGACCAATTTATAGGCCACAATCTATCAAATCTGATTCGTATTCCCAAATATGGTCTTGAATACAGGTTTTGGCTCATAACATAGCAAATTTTTGTCTAATTTGGGCATGTTACGGTGATTTGGCACAATTGAGCCAAAATTTGATCAAATATGGGCATGGCTGGGACCGGTGGGCACCTGGAGTACGTGACTCCCTCAAAAGTTCGATCACAGGCCCTAATTTGTTGGTCGAAGTCTAATTTCACAAAAATCAGGGTGAACCCCCTTAAACGCAAACCGCAAGAGGACAATGGGTCAATTCGCATCACATTCCTAAACTAGAAAGCAACAAGATAATTAACTTTATAACACAGGTGCTCGAGAACTCTTTAAATTCCTCTTTAACCCACACAATAAGCCGTGTTTCATGTGATTTAACTACACTCCCATTCATTCTGTTACACAAGCCTTACATTTGTAGTTTGCTGTGCGTGTGTGCGTGAGGGATGTAACTTTTAACACCTTTGGTATTTCGTCTGATAGTGTTGGTATTTAGATATATTTAAAGAGAACACCTGGTTTCTGGTATCGATTAGAGATATCAAGCTGCACTCTACAGTACCCCTCCTCCTTCTACTCCTCCTCTTTCTCCTTTTAGTATAATTTGTGCGCAATGTAGTCCACACACTGTAGTGTGTTACTACCTGGAAGAGCTATTGTTTATACTTGTATACAATGGCACGTGCACTGTCTCGCCCAGCATTGTACACATAGCAGTGTCTTTTTATTGTGTGCTCATTCCTTCACTCGCTCTCTGCCATATCGTCACGGTTCCTCCTTTGCTCCTTAATTCGAGGAGTAATCCAGGAGATTTTCACTTTGCTTAAAAGACTTAATTTGGTGTTCAGTTTAAGTTCAGGGTGTGGCCACACAAACCAATTTAAATTAAGTGATATGATACTATTATGAGCTACTCGCCACATGAAGAGTGGGTATGCTAATGTACTCATTTTCAACTTATAATTTATTTTCTGTGTTCTGCGAATTTATGCCCAAATATAGCTCGTATCGAATGACTCGTTGAGAATTATTGTTCCATTACGCAATAGTTATCTGTATCTTAAAACTATGCAGTTGTTATTTATCTGTATTTCATCCTGTAATCAGATATACTCTATAGTGGTGTTATATAATGACCGCATCGCTGTCATCTATAGTGCCATTACAGTAAAACCTAAATTTACCGCGGAGTTTTGGGGAAATGAAAGATCCGCGGTAAATCAGAATCCGCGGTATATTAGGGTTTTGTTGTTTACATAATGCATGTTGAATGTTGATTGTTGAGCCCTATGTGGGGAAAGGATATAGCCGGGTTAACGGTAAATCGGGGCTTGGTATATCGGAATTCGAAGTATTACTGTATACGAAATCGGCCCGTGAGATTGGTGCTCATTGGTCAATTGATACTTGTAGTAAATACTGCCAAAATAACAATCCTGCATCACTTAATCACTGCGTTATGGCGTCCACCACAATTACGTTGTCATTTTAGTTTCTTGCTCGTTATTTTGTGAACTTAATTTTTCCCTATTATTTTGTGTGATATAGAAAGTAAACGTGATTAAATTCATTTTGTTACGTCATTTGAAATTATAGAATGTAGACCAAGTTGTGGAAGTCTATCGAGCTAGATGATGGGGGGTAATCAGACCGTCAAAGAGTCTCTAGCAGCAATGTTATCCTTTACCAAGGATTTTCTCTTCCCTTCCCACAGCTACGAGTCATTCTCCTCTAAAATTCACCACTTAGGTTTATAACGAACTTTGTGTTAAAACTTAAATGTTTTTTAAAAATCACTATTCCCCCAGTCCCCACTATTCCCCCAGTCCCCACTATTCCCCCAGTCTCCACTATTCCCCCAGTCCCCACTATTTCCCCAGTCCCCACTATTCCCCCAGTCCCCACTATTCCCCCAGTCCCCACTATTCCCCCAGTCCCCACTATTCCCCCAGTCCCCACTATTCCCCCAGTCCCCACTATTCCCCCAGTCCCCACTATTCCCCCAGTCCCCACTATTCCCCCAGTCCCCACTATTCCCCCAGTCCCCACTATTCCCCCAGTCCCCACTATTCCCACAGTCCCCACTATTCCCCCAGTCCCCACTATTCCCCCAGTCCCCACTATTCCCCCAGTCCCCACTATTCCCCCAGTCCCCACTATTCCCCCAGTCCCCACTATTCCCCCAGTCCCCACTATTCCCCCAGTCCCCACTATTCCCACAGTCCCCACTATTCCCCCAGTCCCCACTACTCCCCCAGTCCCCACTGTAACCCCATCTCCCCCAATATAACCCCATCTCTCCCCAGGACCTGGAGCAGCAGCTGATAGTCGCAAGACTCTGGGAACATTCTCCGGTGTGTTTGTACCGTGCACTTTGAGCATGTTCAGTGCTATTCTCTTTCTACGTATGGGATACATCGTCGGATACGTGAGTTTCCTGTACTCGTTTTTTCTTAAGTCTGTTTTTAGGGGTTTAGTTGTAGGGAAATATATTATATATTAGGGATACATATTGTGCTGACGGCTGGAATTATAATACAATTTGTTATTATTATATATTTGTTTTCTGATGATAATCCTATGTGATGAGTTTACACAGCACCAGTCACAGTACTAAATTGCAATTATTAGATTATTGCGTAATAAGACCACTCAATCTTTTATTATAATATATGCTCATCACATAATATGATTAGGTGCCTTATATGGTTGTGTATACGAACTGAGATCAATTTTCTTTGGTCAACTGCGACTCAGCTATTGAAACGTGTTTCTGATTACACACCACTATCATGAGCTTAATTGTAACATAACCTGAAAAATAGTAAAATTACTATCAAAGAGTTCTGTTCACGGAGGAATGATAAACACACTCATCAGTCATCATGTTCACTAATTAGACTAATTAATTGATAATCAATTAACCCAGGGTGGAGTGATAGACACGCTCATCATGTTCACGCTCTCCTTCTTCATCGTGATGATGACCATACTCTCTGTCTGCGCTATCTCCACTAACGGCGCTATCGAGGGTGGAGGAGCATACTTCATGATCAGTCGCTCTATTGGACCTGAGTTTGGGGGTGCTATGGGCATCATCTTCTTCTTCGCTCAGATATTCGGTTCTACTGTAAGTCTCGGTTATGTTTATTTTATTTTGTGAGAATTTTAAGACTGATAACATCTGGTGAGTATGTAAAATGGAACTTCTAGAACTATCTAGAATTATCCTCGCCATTTTCATTTGTTGGTTTGAACCGAAAGGAAACCGGAAAATATTTTTTTAATTTATTTGAAACTTTTACAAATAATACATATACAATACAACAAAAATAATTAAAAATAAACGACATCATGAGGCATTATGTTGTGTATATATATGTATTATAGATTATGTACTTTTTTTTGTTTAAAAAATGTCAGCTGAGCAAATACACGAAAACATTATAGAAAAATATCCGATAAAACTCAAAATCTTATCAAGATTAGTTGCACTAGTTCATCTGATTCCACTGTCTGTATTTAGTAACTACTAAGTTAGACTTAGATATACTGAGTTCTTGTTTCATAATCAAACTGCCGTTTCGTGCTGCACTAGTGGGTTGGTTTTCTAAACTTTCACTACACCGAAAATCTGGCAATGGGAAAAATTCATTCAAAAAATTATATTATTGATTAATTATTATCATAGTTGAATAATTAATCAGAACAGTTGTCAAAGATAAATAAGTAACACAAAACTACGTGATTCGAATAAACTTAGCTTGTTATCATTATATTATAATTACCTGTGGGCGAAACTGGAAGATAAGATCGGAAATACTGTGATAAATGTGTGACCACATTATCCACCTTGGTCCTGAGGAAAGACCTAAAACTTGGGACCGCCATGCAGTAAACAAAGAAGTTGCCCATTATATAGAAATGAGAGCACATGACTAAACCCCTATTGATAGCAGTGTCTAGTTTACCTTCCCCCGAGTTATAGATTATAACAGATTTGGAGACTAGAAAGTAGATATTGGAGGGTACAATGGCAACTAGAGCTAAACTTGCGGTAAGTGTGACCGTTAAAATGCTATTCAAGGTACCCTGGCTCCGATTCTTCTTGCATTTCTTCCCGCTTTACGCATATGGTGTATCAAGAAGGTTGTTGTTACTGCTACTACTACAAGTGGAATGTAAAAATAGATTACAATGACTATGTCCAAAAGCAATGATTTCGATGTATACCCGTACTCGCATATGTAACCTCTGTAGTCGAAATAAGTATCATTCTTGTCTGTGATGAGGAAAGCAATAGGAACGCTCGAAGAAAGTATCCAAACTGCTACTACAACATGCACTCTTTTTCCGGCCAGGATTCTGGCTCTAGCAGGATACTTCAAAATGAGGAGCCTGCTGGTTGTCATCACACACACAAAGACTAGGCTAGTTGTCTGAGCGTAGTAGCTAATGTAAACTGTCAGGCTGCAGATGCGTTCCCTAAAGGCCCAGTCTTCCATGACGGCAGATACAAAACTAGGAAACACCCAGAACACAGACAATATGATATCACACACAGCTATTTGTTCTATGTAAGTTATGATAATCCTGTGGACTCTGATAGCGTTGTATTTGATAGAGGCTATCAGGATTACAGAGTCGCCGATGGATGAGGTTAGAAGAACCATGAAGATCCAGGCTGTGTAAGCGATAGTCCCTGCTTTGTCTTGCACCCTGGTTGAGTTAGAGTATTCGTAGGACATTGTCACCACTGATAAAATATGGTGAAGGTTACGAACTAAAGGACCTGTAATAGTTTATCAAATACTTTCTACTTGAATGCAACAACAACAACAGCAACAATTGAACAACAATTATACTTGGATATAATAAAACGTTCGCGTAAGGCAGCAATATTGAAACTTTTCTACGAACTAAACTTTTACAATCTGATACAAAACCATTAAAAGAGCTATTACAATTAATATAGGTGTTACTTAGCAGCCTGTTTTTATTTGTTAATTGCACCACCTTTCTCTGTTGCAAGTAAGTGGGCAATTTATAAGATATTCTAAAACTTTGTGGAAGTTACAGTTGGACTGCTGCTATCGACGATATAATGAACTGCTCCTGAAACACAACTTCAGAGCAAGATGCTATGAAATCAATCAGCAAGAGTTAGAATCACAATATTCAGAGCAAGATGTTATGAAATCAATCAGCAAGAGTTAGAATCACAATATTCAGAGCAAGATGCTATGAAATCAATCAGCAAGAGTTAGAATCACAATATTCAGAGCAAGATGCTATGAAATCAATCAGCAAGAGTTAGAATCACAATATTCAGAGCAAGATGCTATGAAATCAATCACCAAGAGTTATATTGTCTCATATTGTGTGTTAGTTTGGTGTGAAGTATTATGGTCTTTTTAAAAAATAACAGTGTTAAACTAAATTGATATCAGTTAAAGATGATATATGTAACAGGTAAAATTCATATAATTGACGATTAAGAGATATGGGAGTGTGTTCAGGACTCTGAAAGTGGCATACTCTTATAGCAATGGTATGAAATGGTTAACTTTAGTCAAGGTCTCATGTCTCTACGACCTTCGCTTTTGGCGCTGTGAATCTTGCGCTTCAGCGCAATGCGCAAATTCCTGCAGGAACTTCCCGACATTGCATTGTAGAGACCTGAAACCTCGACTAAAGTTAACCATTTCCTACTGTTTATATTAGAGGAGCACACATTTAGAACTTCTTCCATACTCCTTCGTGACTAAATTGACGATTTAGATAATTTTACCTGTTAAAAATTGGTGAAAAATATGGGCGTGGCCCAAGTCAGTATTATACGAAACCTTAGAGACACAATTTTTTTGGTTGTTCCTGACCCTATAGAGCAACTAATTAGAGGTGATCTCTGAATATTTGAACGAAAAGTGGTTTTGTGAACCGCCTTATAATGCCAGATAACCCCCTCTATATCCCTGTCCCGCATCAGGGTTCGCAGTTCCTCTTTAGAGTTTGTCCCAATTTCCTTCAGTAACATAGACAAGTAGCTTTGTCTTGGTCGGCCTTGATGTGCTCTACCAGAACCATGAATACGTTCCCACAAGACTAAATCCTTGGCAAGTAGCTCAGGATGTCTGATTTGAGTAAACTAACCTGATTACCGGAAAAATTATTTAAGAACGAGAATCATGATCTATACAATTTTTGTCGAAATTTACCTCATTTTACCTCATTCGGGCAGCCAAAAAAGGCAAAATTGGGATGAGGTAAAATGAGGTAAAATGAGGTTGACCCCCCCCCCCCCCCATATGTTAACAAAAAACTATGTGAATTATCTGACATAAACGTTAAAAGCGCTCTATGTTGCCACGATAATCCTAAGATAGGAGAATTCTTGGTTGCAGAACTTACCCTGAAAGGGCACAAAAACGCGTTAATCTGTAATATATATATCGCTCTCCAAGTGGGGACTTGAATGGTTTCATTGAACAATTAAAAATTTTCCTCCGTAACTTAGCAAGACATCGAAACAAAAATATCATACTGGCCGGAGATACTTACATAGACCTACTAGATTACGGGAGAATAGACTCTGTTACTAAGTATGCGGACACTCTAGCAGAGCATGGATTCGCTCCTGTGATATCAAGACCAACTAGAGTCACAGATCACAGTGCGACTATCATTGACCATATTTTCGTCAATAATTGCCACGCTGTTACAAAATCGGGAGTAATTTCTGAATCAATCTCTGATCACTTGGCAACCTTTGTTACAATCATGGTTGATCAGAATAGGCTCAGTTGTAAACTTCAAGAAGATACAACAGAAACATCTTCTCGAGTAATAAACGATGACAGCACACAAAAGTTCGAGAACGACATTTCTGCTGTAGACTGGAACTTTGTTAATAACTATGATTCTGCAGATGACAAATTTGAGGCTTTTGGGAAAAAATATAGTGAACTTTACGACCGAAATTTCCCAATTAAGGCAAAAAAGATTAAACCAGGCCGCCGTAAAAACACAAAGCCGTGGATCCAAGAATACGGTGCGCATGTGATCGCAAAAATAAATTTTATGAAGAATTATTCACTAACCCAACCACTGAAAATGATATCAGGTACAAGAAAATGAAGAAATTTGTGAATAAACACGTGGATAATAATATAAGGCCAAAAACAAATATTACAACGCGTACTTTACAAAATATTCTAGCGACAGCAGAAAACAATGGCAAATGGTTAAGAACTTGTTAAACAGAAAGCAAAAAGGCAAAATTAAGATAAACAAAATTAACTATAATGGGAACGAGATAACAGATTCTCAGCAAATTGCGAATAGCTTCAATGACTATTTCTGCAATATAGCTGAGACTCTTAAGAGAGAAAATGGTCTCGTATGTTTCGAGGGCCGGACTATCAAAACAGAAACTCAAGATAGCAAATGCCAGCGGAGCATGAATCTAGAAGATTCTTCCGCATCAGAAATAATTGAAATAGTTAAAGGTCTGAAAATTAAGTCGACTTCTGATATGAGTATACTTCCCCTGAAAAAAGTGAGCAATATACTTGCACCAGTGCTTAGATGCCTAGTCTCTGCGTCTCTACATCAGGGGAAGTTTCCACATAAATTGAAAATCGCGATTCAAGTAATTCCACTTCACAAAGGTGGGTCACGTGCTGAAGTTTCAAACTATCGACCTATCTCACTACTCTCATGTTTCTCAAAAATATTTGAAAAAATTATGCAAGCGCGACTATTAGATCACTTAAAGACAGAGAAAATCCTATTTGACTCCCAATACAGATTTCGGGCTGGGCATAGCTGCGAACATGCTTACTAGAATTAGAAGCCCAAAACCATATCCACAGGGCACTAGAAAGAAAGCAGGTCACAGCGCTGCTTCTTTTAGACAACAGCAAGGCCTTTGACATGTTTGACAGCAGTATTCTTTTAAGAAAACTTGAGCACTATGGAGTTCGGGGGTTGGCTTTATCTTGGTTTGACTCATATCTTACCGATAGAGAGCAATACGTGAGCGTCAACAACTGTAAGTCCTCTCACCTTAAACTTAACTACGGAGTTCCACGGGGCTCCATTCTTGGACCAATTCTGTTCATAATTTAC